TAGCATCCGTGGGTTTGTGTTCGTAGGAATTGGTAGTAAACCAGGCATTCATGCTCTTTACGTTATCTGTGTAAAGTAGTCTACCTGTCCACCTCTAGGCCGTGGCATTTAACATGAAGTGATTTACTACATACCACTGTGGCTTTTCCCTCATCATACCGATGGTCTATGTTTACATTACATCGGCTCGAACAAACTCACATGGCAATACATGTTTTCTAGTCACCATGCATCACATAGGTGCCCGTCGTGTATTACCACTGATACATTCAACTACCTTCAATTTGCTCAGTAAATATCACAATAATAATAATAATAGTAACAACACAAGGCCTTTTCGGGTTTGCTTATTTGCGCCATCTATTATTTTAGACAGACAATTAAAGGCAGTGCTTCTGGCTGGATGACGTTTGTGCTATCTGGGCGATCATCCAATTCAATTCTACCAAGCGCATTTTAACTGATATAACTGGGTTCAAGTAATGAAAACGAAGAAACTTATCAAGGAAGCGATAAACATAGAAAAGGCGCAGAACCAATACCATCCAAGCTGTGTTTCAATGCTAAATTCTATGGTCAGCAACAGGTACCGGAGGCCGGAGGTGATGACATCTGCGAAAATGCCATGGCTATGCTAAAAGCTCGTCAAGCGCAGACAAAACAAAAGAAAAAGCGAGTAATGATTGACTTGCATCCGACGGAAATATACGTACTAGAAAAAAGTGCTTCGGTAAGCCAGCATTAAACTGATATACCTGATTTTCGCACATTCAACATCCAGTGGAATGCGAGCACATTAAAGTAGAGATATTTGTAAAAAAACAACGGCATGGTTTTAACGATCGCTTCACCCTAAATTCATAATTAGGTCTAAATGGTAAGTCGATAGTTGTACAGACAACCACTAGACTGTCATCCCGGTGTGCTTCTGAAAGTGATCCCTGTCTTAATCCAATGTCAGTGTCTGTTTGGCAGTACACACGATTAAGGGGTCGGTCACAGAGTAGAGACGCTATCAAATTGTGCTTCAGCACATCCATCGCTATGCAGCTGACGAAAATGAAGCCAAGCAAAACAATCGATCAACTAACGGCTGTGATCACGAAAAACACCACATCGATAATCATCATGTTCGTATGTAGGTATACTTCGTTTTTTCTTATCCCAACAAGTCGAGCATAATCTAAGACAGCTTGCAATTTCTATTAAACCCCTTTCCGTAGACTTTTGATGCACTCGTTCAGTGAAGATAACAGAGCACTATGGAAGTAATACCCACATGACTCCGGATAGACAGTAGGCTATAGCTGGGATAGCCGACCGTGCAATTGTGGTGGGATACAGTCGCGTTGAGTAATGCATACTTATTATGATGGACTTAAATTTATACACAGTCCTCATCAACTAAGGCATTCCTATCGGTCACATCTTGCCCGGTGATATCTCGGATATGACAGCAGTAGTGTTACTCAGATCTAGCTTACTTGCCATATAATAAAAAAATTTGCAACCTTCGTCACCCTAAAGATGCGCCCAACTCAACTTCTTGTCCTCAAACGCCCAGATAAAACAACGCACAAGTTTCCATTCCAAGAGCAAAGGGCACACAAATATGCCGGTTAAAAGGACCGAACAACGGTTTAGACACTTGTAACTCATCCTGTACTCCAGCTGGTATTCAGAGCCCATAATTTGTCCTTGGGAACTTGTGCAGATTAGATGAACGTACTGACACAAAAATAATCAGCATTCAATGGGCGTTATATATATATATATATATATATATATATATATATATATATATATATATATATATATATATATATATATATATATATATATAAACCAACTTACACATTAACTAGGTCTTCTAAGCTGCCTAAATTTCACTCCACTTTATTTGGTTTGTTCTCCATATCTGAATAATGTTCTATTAACTGGCCACGTTGCTTACGCTAATTGCGCTTATCTTCGATAATTTTGTTGCGTTTTTAGCATTTTAAGTAACCTGTGGACATTTCTTACTTATCGCGGATTCGTTGCTAACCAACTTACTTCATATGTTAATTTAGGGAAGAGTTATGTCACCGTATCTGTATGCATTATTGGATTTATTTTATTTCAGCTTGTCATTTAAAGTGAATGGCTGTTGCTTGATATCCCCGGTGTGGCTGCGCTTGATGTGCATGTTGACAAGGTGCCTACCTGTCTATTACCCACTACCTCGTTCATACTGGCTCCAGGAGGCAGTTGGTCGTTGCTGGAGGGGATGGGGTGCACGGTCCTTGTGGTCGTGCTAGGCTCAAAGAGCGGTTCCATGCACTCAGTGTGGAGCGGACTACGGTCCAGCCACCGCCTTGTGTGCGCTTGATTCCCCAAATACAGCGTGCTTGTGTTTGCCTGTGATGCAGTGTGGGCCGGCTCTGTTGATGAAACGTGGCTCCCATCCACATGCCTCCCTGTCTTATTCGTTCGGGTTTACGCTGGATATGGGGTGTGTGGTTGGAGCTGTGGGTGGTGCAGCGCAAGCCACCCATGGTCCCTCTGTAGGCGCAGGCGTGCTGTGGTGGCCACAGTGACAGGCAAATCCGAAACCGGATGCCGCCAACCATGTAAGTTGTACCCCATTCTGAGGCTGATGTCGCATTCATGATGCTTCTTCACCGCAGTTGGGCTAAACCAACTTACACTTAAATGGGTCTTTATAAGCTGGCTAAATTTCATTCCACTTTATTTGGTTTGTTCTCCATACCTGAATAATGTTCTATTAACTGGCCACGTTGCTTACGCTAATTGCGCTTATCTTCGATAATTTTGTTGCGTTTGTAGCATTTTAAGTAACCTGTGGACATTTCTTACTTATCGCGGATTCGTTGCTAACCAACTTACTTCATATGTTAATTTAGGGAAGAGTTATGTCACCGTATCTGTATGCATTATTGGATTTATTTTATTTCAGCTTGTCATTTAAAGTGAATGGCTGTTGCTTGATATCCCCGGTGTGGCTGCGCTTGATGTGCATGTTGACAAGGTGCCTACCTGTCTATTACCCACTACCTCGTTCATACTGGCTCCAGGAGGCAGTTGGTCGTTGCTGGAGGGGATGGGGTGCACGGTCCTTGTGGTCGTGCTAGGCTCAAAGAGCGGTTCCATGCACTCAGTGTGGAGCGGACTACGGTCCAGGCACCGCCTTGTGTGCGCTTGATTCCCCAAATACAGCGTGCTTGTGTTTGCCTGTGATGCAGTGTGGGCCGGCTCCGTTGATGAAACGTGGCTCCCATCCACGTGCCTCCCTGTCTTATTCGTTCGGGTTTACACTGGATATGGGGTGTGTGGTTGGAGCTGTGGGTGGTGCAGCGCAAGCCACCCATGGTCCCTCTGTAGGCGCAGGCGTGCTGTGGTGGCCACAGTGACAGGCAAATCCGAAACCGGATACCGCCAACGATATATATATATATATATATATATATATATATATATATATATATATGTTGAGCCTCCACCGTGGTCGCTCAACAGACACAGTCTGTCCTCAGTTGCGTGCCGCAGGGCTTTATTCTTGGACCGCTGCTGTTCTCTATATATGTGAATGACCTACGCGCGCAGCTTGAGGTACCATCGTTACTATTTGCTGATGACCTGAAACTGGAACATTATCGATGTTCCTGGAGGTACCGAAGCTATTCAACAAGCCTTGGATAAGCTTTGGTATTGGTCTACTTTATGGTTACTACCCATAAATCAGGCAAAATGCTCCGTTCTTCGAATTGGAGGAGCTTGTCCTCATGCGAACTACTTGGTCGGTGAAGTCGAACTCTCCCATGTATCTAGCCAGCTTGATCTGGGCGTCGTACACTCTATGACTTTACACTCCGGCGACACCTGGAAGAAGGCCTCAAGCAGAAGTTTCCGATTGTTGTAGTTAATGCTATGTTCTTTCGGAATCTTGACGGGCGGCATTTTTGCGAGATTGTTCTCGCCTTTCGTTCGCCCTCATCTGGAGTACTGCGTCCAGGCTTGTCCGCCCTGCCTCGTCCGAGGCAAAATGGAGCTAGAGAGGGTTTTACGAGTGGGTACTAGGTTAGTTGAGGAATTACGGGAAGAACACACCCCGAGCGTCTACCCAGTTTGGGAATGCATTCAATGCACTATCAGTGGCTTAGAGGAGACCTAATCCTAACCTACCGTATCTTAACTGGGAAGGTTGGTCCAGATTTATCTCGGCTATTCAGTGGCGCTAAATTGTCTGTTCTACACGGTCATACCATAAAGCTGGACAAACTGTGGTCCCATCGGATTTGGCGGAAATCCTGCTGTGACGCCGAGTCATCGAGCGCTGGAACATGCTTTCGGAAAGTCCTATCGGGGAATCTACGGTTAAGACGTTTGAACGGCAACGACGCTCTTGGATGGCAACATGAAACCTTTCCATTTTCCTGTGCAACTCACATCTTCATAATTCGCTTTTCTTTTCTCTACGTTTCTTCATGCGTTTTTATTATTTTCTAATTTAAGTGCACTTCCTTATTCAGTACCTTCGGTTTCTCTTCCTATCCTTTGCTTACTTCACGTGACTGCCACCGCAGGGACTGCTAGGACAGGAAACGGGGGCATTAACTGGTTGGCCAGGGTGCGATACGGTTGTTCCGTTTTTGATCCATCATGAACTCTGGGCACTTCATCACTTCCTGACCGTTCGAGACCATCAACTGGGTATCGTCCTTTCAAATGATCGATTAAAACAGCTACTCCTGCTGTGTACTAGTAGCATACAATTTCAGTTTAACGGGGCCATATACAGCCAAAGAGATGGAGTAGCTATGGGCTCACCACTTGGACCGCTACTGGCGAATGTGTTCATGAGCAAATTAGAGAATACTTATCTGAGCGGAGTCATTACCAGTCTACCATATTACGGACGATATGTGGATGATATATCTTGTGTGACAAACAGGCACTGCTGCACAGAGACAATTTTATCCCATTTTACCTCAGCGCACCCTAATGCCAAGTTCACCCTAGAAACTGAAGTCAATGACACGATGTCCTTCCTAGGCGTTCAGCTTAGTAGACGACCAGATGGATCAGTCTAACGGAGGATGCATAGAAAAACAACGTGGAATGGACAACATATACATTTTGCCAGTTTTGTCCCAAGAAATCAGAAACGCAACTTGATTAGATGTCTAACCGAAGGGGCCAGAAGGATTTGTAGTGAGGACACACTTGCGGACGAGCTCAGTTTCTTAAGTGGCGTTTTCGAGATGAACGTCTATCCAGAAAAATTTGTTCGGAAATATCTGGAGTGCAGAGAAATGAGAGCTAAACCAGCTTCGGTAGAAAAGAAACCGGTTTATTTGTCGCTGCCGTTCAAGGGTGATGGCATGGCGTAGGCAACTGTTAGAAGATTATCCGACGCTATGCGTCATACGTACTACGCAGCGAGCTTGCGGCTAAGTTTTACTTCAACACCAATCGTGAGGCCCCAACTCAAAGACAGACTTCCCTTGTCATGTACAGCTTATTGTGTATATACCTTCTCTTGTTCATGTCGAGCAAGATACATTGGGCGAACTACTAGGAGGCTGTCTGAGAGAATACGCGAGCATTGCCCAGCTAATCTACGCAATGGTGGAGGAAAAACTGTGATGAGCGCCGTGTTGGCACACTTGGTTGATTCTAATCATCAAATTGACATCCGCCAATCTTTTCAACCCATTTACCGTGTAC